GTGAAGCCAATAACAATAGTCATCCGTGTACTTGCTGAGACCATCGATTAAGTGCCCATGTGCCAGGCACACTGCTGGGTATTTTTACAAATATTAGCCTTCGCTGGGCAGTTAGGGTTAAAAAGTCATTAACCGATCAATGTCATTTTTCTAGATATCACATTTGTGCCAAGGAAAGAAATGGGAATAATCAGTATGCCCTTACATCCCATAGGTTAGGATTATGGCTTGACCAGTAGAAAATCTAGCTCCAAATTTCTGCTCTACTTCTCATATCATAGAGGCATGCGTAAAGAAATCCAACCACAGAAGAAGAGCACTCAAGAGAATAAGTGACCCTCCTTGGTTTCCTGTTTAACTTCTCTAGAACACCATGGATAGAGTAAGCCAAAGGTTAAAAGGGAGATGCATAAAGTCAGAAACTAGAAAAGCTGACAAAGGCACTTCTTTAAAAGTGCATTAGAAGTTAGTCAAAGAGGCTGGGTGCAGTGGCTCATGCCTGTAATCCCAGCACTTTGGGAGGCCAAGCCAGGCAGATCATGAGGTTGGGAGTTCGAGACCAGGCTAGCCAACATGGTGAAACCCCGTCTTTACTAAAAATACAAAAATTAGCTGGGTGTGGTGGCAGATGCCTGTAATTCCAGTTACTCAGGAGGCTGAGGCAGAACTGTTTGAACCTGGGAGACGGAGGTTGCAATGAGCTAATATTGCACCATTGCACTCCATCCAGCCTGGGCTACAGGGCAAGACTCCGCCTCAAAAAAAAAAGAAGTTAATCAAAGAATGATGACCCATGTCCACAGATGTATATGTGTGCCATTTACATACATCTTTCTATTAACACAATAGAAGCAGAATTGTTTTATGATGCTGCTAACATTCAGAGACAGGACCTGCAGCTGCATTTCAGGTTATGATGCCTACAGGTATGTCCTAGAGGATGTGAGCCAGTGCCATGGAAGCCATGTACTAGCAGGTGGTAACATAAAGGGCTCCCATTGTAAATGCTGCAAACATTTCACCCTGACAAGTCAATCACAGTGTCAGGAGCAGGGAAAAAGGTGGTTCCTGGAGAAAAGGTAGATCTGCCAAATCTGCCTCCAAAACAAATAGAAAGCAAAACCCAGCCACTAGCAAGAACTCCTCTGGGTCCCTAAACCTTTAAGTCATCACAGATCGAAAAGAAACCAAACTTACAAATGACAGGCTCAGAATTGTAGAAACATTTCCTTGCAGCTGCCAGAGCCTGCAAATGAGCTTTTAAAAAGTTTCAGTCTTGAAATGACATTTTAAAGGTAGTATATAAATTGCTTCCTCTCTCTTCGGTGCACCCCCTTTTTCCTCATTCTCCATTCACTAATGAAAGACTTTTCCTCTTCCCCTGCCTGTTTCAATTTGAAACGTGGCACAGACCAGGACACTGGAAGGGGAAGAGAAGGAAGGGGGAGGAGGCTACTTTCAAATCTGACACACGTACCCCCCAACCGGCTATCTACACCCTGGTTGATGGTCAGGCCAGACTCCACCTACGACAGGACAGAAGGACCAAAGAGTAGAGTAGAAAACTCCTGCTTGTGCCACCTCTCCTGAAAGCAGACTTGACGGTGGAAAGGAAGGAGGGGGAAAATAAAGTTCCACATTCCTGACATTTTTTAGCCAAGTGCTGTGGCCGCACAGAGCAGCTTCTCTATTCCAAGCAGCCTGTAGGACTGGGAGAAAACCTGGGTGCAGGGTGAAAAAGCTGCCCCCTGCCTTGGAAACAGGATGGCCCAAAACTAAACCAAATTTGGGGTAGCGATAGGGGTCGGTGGTGAGGGAAGAGACAGCCTTTCATGTGTGTTCCCAAAAGGAAATGATCCCAAGGGAAATCATTTAGAGTCATCGTCTTCCTGGAGAAAGATCAACTAAAGTCCTGGGGTCCCTGAGAGGGAAACAAGCCCCCTAATCCAAACGAGGTGACCAGTGAGTTGGGTAAAGAGCAAGGTGGGGAGGCAATGCAGACACAAGGGCTGTGGCTGCTTGGGGCATGAGCTGGTAGGGGGAGAAGGACCCAGCTCACTGGCAGCAGCAGGGCAGAGGACCCCAGAGGGAGGAGTGGCCAGGAGAGTCACTCTGTGGGAAGAATTATAATTGAGTTTTCCTGGCTCAGCTTCTGAATGAAGGAATCCTAGCTGGGGCCAAGTCAGAACCCCAAGAGCCTATGTCCTCTCACCCCCTTCTCCCCATTCCCCTTACACTTCTTTCCATCATCACTTCTGGGAAAAGGTTGGTGAGTCCCCAGTTGCACCTACCATCCCACCATATGCATCCACACATACCCACACATGTATACCACACACTTCAGAGGAAAATCCAGAAGATCCTAAGTGATATCCAGCCAGTCCTGTGCTGGGTTTTAAGGCGCCTCCCCCTACTTTGCTCTGAGTGTGAAGATACCCGCATTTGTTTCTCTGTGGTCCCTACAGTATCTAGGATGCTTCTGCTCTCATTTGATAGAGGCAGCAGTTCCAAACTCCCCCAGAGATAAGTAAACCCCCAGGAATACTTATCTCTGTGGAAAGTTAGTTGGTGGGTAAAGGCAGTGAGCCCCCTCCTTGTTCCCGGCACAGAATAAAACTAAGACCTTCTTACTGGAGGCTTGAGGCAAAGTCATCTTTCTCCCTGAAAAGCACAGACCGATGATCTCACAAAGTACCTCCAAAAGGAGACACCTGCCCTGTAGGTCCTGTAGGTTCAAGGTGCTATGGGAAGAAGTGATGGGGATGGCAGGAAAAGGGGGCCTGTAGGCATTTCAACCGAGGACCTTACTATACTCCCCAATCGAAGTCTAAGGGCAGCGGGGGTGGGAGGAGTAGGGGCGGTGGAGGGGGAATAAGAGTAGTTTTGTTTGTTTGTTGTTTTTCTCATCTTGGGCGGTTCTCTTCCACCAGGTACTGGAAGTAAAAGTTCTTAGCACCTTTCAACTTCTAGAGTGGCAGGTTTAATACACAGGACTTCCCACAAGACTAGAGACCAGGGAAAGGAGGTAGGTACCCAATTCAAACGCTGGCAGCTCTTTCTGAGCAAAGATAAAGCAGGTAAGGCCACAAACCCTAACAAATGCTAGAAATACAACAGAGAGAGCCACAGGCTATGCGAGAAACTTGGCCACAGCAGAGCCTGTGGCTTTGAGGTTTACAGCTGTCACGTGTATCTTTCCAGCCACACCCTCCAAGGCTGGGCACACGCACTTTGGAGGCCTCTTAGAATGGAGGACAGCAAACAGACAGGAGAATACGCTGGGCTAGATAAATTCTCTAATTTTGTTAAGCTATTATTATAATAAATAATCACAGGGCTCCAGGCACAAGAGACTTTTTCATGTTGGTAGGAGATGTTATGGCTTTTGTTGCTGACATGATCTCAGTTAAACCTTACAATCACCCTGTGAGGAAGACCAGTTTTATGAACGTCTTTAGTGATGGATAAACTGAGGCTGCAGTCAGTTTTCAGTCAGACTAGTCACAGAACAGGGACTGAGACACAGGGATATGACTCTGTGTGACACCACACACTTCCAGGGGAGAACCCGGAACAAGGTCCAATCCAATATACCACTAGAGAGAGCTGTGAGAGGGAGAGGAAGGAGAAAGGGGCTGAACTAAAGCAGCACTACCAAAAAGTAGAGTGGAGACCCCAATCCTAGTCCCACTGTTTATCTCCTAGAGAACCTAAAGCCCAGCCACGAACACATTCACTCATACAACCCTAACTTGGCCATCACAAGAATGTCCCCAGCTTGAGAGCAGCTTCGCCAGCCAATTAAGGCCCTTGTCATTCCTAGAGATACAGGGAACCTGGAGACAGAGGGATGGGGTGGAAAATTAGCCAGGCTAGGCATCTGTATCTCCAAGGAAGTTTGTAAATGGTCACAGCTTCCTAATCCAGCCGTGAGAATGCAGATAAGGAACCTGACCCAGAAGGGAGTTGACAAGGAGTCTCAGGAACCAGAGGAGACCACTGTAAGAGTGAGGGGAATGTCGCTCACATATTTCACTTCTGAGACAAGATACACCGCAGCAAACCTATGCCAAGCTTCCTCCAGTTCTTCCCACTTTTGAATATCACATTTTTCTTGCTCTGCAAGAGTAGGGAATCATTCCCATCAGTCTCTTTGATTCTGACCCCTTGCTGGCTTTCTACAACTCCCTGTCTCAGAGGCCGACACTGGGTCATTGCTGTTGCGGGTGGGATCCCCATCCTCTGCCCCAACTCCTACACTCTAAGAGAATCACCTTTTCCCAAAAAGTTGAGGGTATCCCTGTCTGTCTCACTTCTTGTCCCTGTAAAGGGCATGAAGCTCTGGGTCGCGGCAGCTGGGTCTAAAGGGACAGTCCACTGAGTGGTAAAGGATATCAAAAACTGGCCTTCTAGAGCACAGCAAAAAAAAGTGGGAGCGAAAGGAGCGCAGAACGCCACCGCTGGGATGGGGCCAGGGCCACACGTGAACATCCGAGCACGTTCCAAAGCTGAGATGCAAAACACCCAGAAAATCAGATAGGAAGTGGAAAAGGGTCAGGGTCCCTCCCACTGGAAAAGCCCAGAAGAGCTAGTGGCCACCCCTTGGGGAAAGGGGCGTTGTGCAATGACTGCAGGTCTGGGAGTCTCTGGGCTTGGCTCCCGGACGCCAGAACCACGCGTCGGGCCAGGGTGGCAGCGCGGCAGTTGGTTCGAGGCCAGGCTGGGGTTTCAGGGCTGCAGACACAGCTGCAGAATACGGTGAGCGCCCAAGGGGGCGGCAGAGCATGGCATGGCTGGCATGGCTTGGAGCTGGGGACGCTGTCTGGGCTGGCCGGGGTACAGGCCGGCGGGGTACAGTGCACAAAGACGGGGTGCCGATAACGTACACGGCGGCCAGGAGCCCGCGATCAAACCGAGGGGCCGCTGACCTGCAGGGGTGTTTGGGGCGGCGCACGACAGGGGGCACTGTCCCTCCGGCTCCCTCCTCCCCAGGCTCTCACCTCGAACATAAGCCCGATGAGGACGCAGAGCACCAGGCAGAAGCCGATGTCCGCATGGTTGTGGATGACGAACTCCTGGCTGAAGAGCGGGTAACTTTTCGTCCTCCTGCGGAAAGCCATGGCAGCGGGCGCGCAGCGGCCGGCGGGGCCCGCACCCTGCGCTCAGGAACCGCAGCGCAAACTTCTCCAGCCCCGGCCCGGTCCGCCCGCCGGCCCGCCGCCCGCTCTCCCACAGCCGCCCGCCCGCCCAGCGCGGAACAACTTCGGGGCCCGCCCCCTTCCTCCGCCTGCCCCCGCCCCCGCCGCCCGGAACCGCCCCCGAGCGCAGCCCCCGCCCCGCCCGCGGCCCGCACTTGGCGCGCCCAGCCCCGCCCCCCGCGCGCTTTACCTTCTCGCCGCGGGGCATGCGCGGGCGGTCTGGACGGAGGCTGCCGGGGGTGGCGAGCGGAGCTTGTTTCCTCCTAGCCCCGCGCGGGCGCCACGCCCCGCCGCATTTTCCGGGCCCCGGGCTCGGCCGCTCGCCGCAGAGAGAGCAGGCCGCTAAGGAGGCGGGCGCCCGGGCCTGCCCGGACAGGAAGTGGGCCCAGGTTTCCCACTCCTCGCTCAGCGCCTTCCTCCATGAAAGGGCAGGCCCTGGAGGCCGCGAGCGTCCAGGCGGTGGCCGGGCAGCCGGATGCTCCCGGGTGACGGGCTGTGGCCCCGGAGGCTGAGGGCAGCGCGGGTGCAGTGGAGGCAGGGAAGCCGCGGGCCGGCCTTCTCGCTGGCCACGGCGCCCTGTACGGACGATCAATGAATGGACATTACTCAAGTATTTATCGAGAACTCTCAGTGGGCTAGGTGCGGTTCAGGTTGTGTGAATGCGCAGATCAACAAACCCGAAGACCCTGCCTTAGGGGAGCTTTCGTTTCAATGCGGGGATGAATGCAGTTTTGCCCTAATAACTTTTGGGACCCTCCCGCCATCATTAATTAATTAGACACATCTCACCCAAAGTCTACCTTAAATATTAATCAGAAGAAGTGGAAAAATAAACAGAAAAAGCAAAAAATGAACTTTCTCATTGAAAGTTTCTATTTAATAGTAAGTCTTATAAGTACTCCTGGAAGGACAAAAGGCGTTTTTAATAAATTAATTTGTATTTGCAAATATTGGATTTAATCCTACCAATAATGAAGGAGTCAATTACTTTCTAGACGTACAGAAATACATAATGAACAAGGAGCTATTCCTATTCCGTTTTTTATTAGGTCCACGGTTATTTCACTTCTAAGTAAATATGATTTCTTAAAAGTGGCAGAGGGTGAAATGTATATTGAGACAGGATGGAGTTCCTAGAGAAATTTTACTTCCTTAATTTACACTCCACCTTACTTAGCATACAGTACTGGGTCTGTAACTCCCTTATCTGACTCTCAAGGAAATGAAAAAGTCATGCCTAGATTGGATTAGACCTCATTTCACTTCATGCCTAACCCTTCTCGAAGTTGAACCTTAGTCTTTTGAGGAACAGAAAGATCAAGAACTCTGAAGCACCTCGATTTTCCATCTGTGAAGATGTGTTCAAATTTTCAACTTGCAGCCACATCTCTGAGGTTGACCTTTATACAACTGGTTTCTTTATAGGTAAAGCTTGTGGAATACCGTTGTTTCAGATGGTTCAATTTAACAGTTATCTCCACTGCTATTATTATTATTATTATTATTTTGAGACAGAGTCTGTCACTCGGCAGGAGTGCAGTGGAGTGATCTCGGCTCACTGCGACCTCCAGCTCCCGGGTTCAAGTGATTCTCATGCCTCAGCCCATAGCTGGGACTACCATGTCCCATGGTGTGTGCCACCATGCCTGGCTAATTTTCTATTTTTTAGTAGAGACAGGATTTCACCATGTTAGCCAGGCTGGTCTCAAACTCCTGACCTCAAGTGATCTGCCATTTTTTGAGATGGATTCTCTGTTGCCCAGGCTGGAGTGCAGTGGTGCCTTCTTGGCTTACTGCAACCTCTTCCTCCCAGGTTCAAGCAGTTCTCCTGCCTCAGCCTCCCCAGTAGCTGATATTACAGATGCCTACCAGCACCCCCGTCTCATTTTTATATTTTTAATAGAGACAGGGTTTCACCATGTTGGCCAGGCTAGTCTCAAACTCCTGACCTTCAGTTATCTGCCCATCTTGCTCTCCCAAAGTGCTGGAATTACAGGCCACTGCATCCAGCCTTGTGCTACACTTTTGTACTATACTGTACTATGGGGCAGCACAGTAGGTTTATTTACACCAGTATCACCAGAAACACATGGTTAAGGCATTGCACTGCAATGTAACAGTGGCTCTGACATCACTAGCTGATAGGAGTTTTCAACTCTATTACGATCTTATGGAACAACTTTCATATACGTTGTTTATCATTGACCAGAACATCATTACATGGCATATGAGTATCTGTCCTCTAGTTTTTTGACATTCCTCCCTTCAGTAGGAGGCAATTCATTCCCCTCTCCTTGAGTGTGGGCTGGACTTAAGGTTAGGGTTAGGGTTAGGGTTAGGGTGTGTGACTTCCAAGAATAGGCCATAAGAGACACTTGGGGTTTCTGCATTCTTTCTCTAGGGTCACTCCCTCTGGAGGAAGCCAGCTGGCACATTGTGAAGATCCTCAGTCCTGTGGAGGCAAATCCTCCATATGGCTGAGGCCTGCTGCCAGCAACCAGCACTGACTTGCCAGGTATATGATTGTGCCATCCCGGAAGCAGATTTTCCAGCCCCAGTCAAGCCTTCAGATGATGTCAGCCCCTGCTGATCTCTTGACTGCAACCCCATTAGAGACCATGAGACAGAACTAGCCAGGTAAGCCCCTCCTGAATTCCTGACCCACTGCACCTGGGAGAGAAAAAATATTTTCTGTTTTAAACCACTAAATTTTTTGTAATTTGTTATACAGCAAGAGGTAGCTAATACACATTAGCTGAAAGCTTGCAATCTTTTAGAATAGACAGACATCATTATAATTCAGTGTAATGATGGTAGCTCTAAGAACAACCTGAAATAGGCACCCTCTGAGTACAAGGAAAAGGTAACTTAATTCTGTCTGGGATATAAGGAGGAGGTCATTTGGGCTGGACCTTTACCTGGCAGATTGTACTGACAGAGAATACAGAAAAGGAGTGTGAGATAAATTTGGAGTTAAGATGGAGCTGGATTGTAGCAGGTTTTGCATACTGTGATAAAGAATTGTGACTTTATTCTACAAACAATGGGAAGGAATGGAAAATTTTTAAGCATGACCAGATCTGTCTCTAGAAGAGAACTGTCAGGAGTATGGAAGACCATCCTGATTTAAACAGGAAGACTGCTTTGGAAACTATTATAACAGTCCAGTAAAGAAATGCATACTTCTCTCTTTTCTGAGACAGGGTCTCTGTCACCCAGACTGGAGTGCAGTGGTGCAATCATGGCTCACTGCAACCCTAACCTCCTGGACTTAAGTGAACTTCCTGCCTTAGCTTCCCGAGTAGCTGGGACTGTAAGCGCACACCACCATGCATCACTATTTTTTTTTTTTTTTTTTACTTTTTGTAGAGACAGGGTCTCCCTATGTTGCCAAGGCTGGTCTTGAACTCCTGGGCTCAAGTGATCCTCTCACCTCTACCTTCCAAAGTGCTAGGATTATAGGCATGATCCACTGCGTCTGGCCAGCACTTCTCAAAGAACAGTAGCAATGAGAATAAAAGGGAGGTAAACTATTTCAGAAACATTTCAAAGATTAGTTAGGTTTGGTAACTGCCTAAATATAAGACTACGTATGGGAGTTGAATGAGTCAGAACTTGCTTCTGGGATAACGTAAATAATGGTGGGACCATTAAAAAATTTATTTGGTCTGTCTGGGTGCAGTGGCTCACGCCTGTAATCCTAGCACTGTGGGAGGCTGAGGCAGGTGGATCACGAGGTCAAGAGATTGAGACCATCCTGGCCAACTTTGTAAAACCCTGTCTCTACTAAAAATGCAAAATTAGCTGGGCATGGTGGCATGTGCCTGTAATCCCAGCTACTTGGGAGGCTGAGGTAAGAGACTCACTTGAACCCAGGAGGCGGAGGTTGCAGTGAACTGAGATCACACCATTGCACTCCAGCCTGGTGACAGAGCAAGACAACATCTCAAAAAAAAAAAAATTATTTGGAATAACAGATAAATAGCATGTTTAAGGGAGGAGAAGAAGATGGCCTCCGCTTTGAACAAGCTGAGGTGGAGGAGCCACAGAACACTTTGACAGCTTGGTTGGAAACTTTCGAATTGGATTCGAGGAGGGAAAAATTACAACTAAAGTATTTTCAGCTTGTCTTCAGTAGGACTGTTGAAGTCATCAGGTTACATGAGTGTTCCTGGGAGCATAAGAAAAAGTCTGAGGTCAGCAGAATCCTAGTGAACCTCAACACTCAGAATGGGGAAGATGAGGAAAATAAATGGTGGGGTAGAAGCCACGAGGTAAGAATTTCATTAAGGACAGGTTAAATCAGGCAGGACAAGAATGAGATGAAACCCCTAGATTCAGCCATCATGGCTTTTAGAGACCACTTAATTGAACATTGGAGTGGGCTTAACAGTAGGTAGAATTTGAGAAAAGGAGGTGAGGAAAAGCTCTATTTTTTTTTTTTTTTGAGATGGAGTTTCGCTCTTGTTACCCAGGCTGGAGTGCAATGGCGCGATCTTGGCTCACCACAACCTCCGCCTCCTGCCTCCTGGGTTCAGGTAATTCACGTGCCTCAGCCTCCTGAGTAGCTGGGATTACAGGCACGTGCCACCATGCCCAACTAATTTTTTATATTTTTAGTAGAGACAGGGTTTCACCATGTTTACCAGGATGATTTCTATCTCTTGACCTCATGATCCACCTGCCTCCGCCTCCCAAAGTGCTGGGATTACAGGCGTGAGCCACCACGCCTGGCCCTGAAGGTCTATTTTTTAAAAAAATGTTTTGTGAGAGAAAGAGAAATCAATGGTGTTTGGAGTGCTATGGAAGATCTGCAGAAGGACCTTTAAATTATATTTAATTTTTGAGATTGGAGACAGAAAAGAAAAACCCAGGAGAGAATTAGGGAAATACTGAAAATACTTGAGTTATGGGAGATCATTGATGAAACCAAGGGGGGAGACTGGAGGGTGGCTCCAGCAATAGGAACAAAAGGGAAAACTGTCCTGAGATGGAGTCAGGGACCTAAAAGTGGGTGAATATAATTATATCTGGATGTGGAGGAAATAACCCCTTACATTTATATTGCACTTTCCAGTCACCCTGTGAGGGAGGCAAGACAGTTATTACCAACCCTTTCTTGTAGCTGTTCTGAGACATGAATGACCAAGAGCCACATAATGAGTGGGTAGCTGAAGCTGGACTCAGACCTGCCAGTCATGTTGTCAGCACAGGGTTCCCTTTGCTGGACCATACTTCAGCCCACTCAGGATTCCTAAACTACACAACTGTCAGGTCAGGCAGGCACCGCCTCCTGTCCCTCTCTACCTCTCTAGCCATAGCTGCCAACAATTTGACTATATCAGTATTTTTTTTTTTTTTTTTTTTTTTTTTTTAGACAGAGCCTTGCTCTGTCACCCAGACTGGAGTGCACTGGCATAATCTTGGCTCACTGTAACCTCTGCCTCTTGGGTTCAATTCTCTCAAAAGTACCTGGGATTACAGGCATGTGCCACCATGCCCAGCTAATTTTTGTACTTTTAATGGAGACAGGGTTTTGCCATGTTGGCCAGGCTGATCTTGAATTCCTGGCATCAAGGGATCTGCCCACCTCAGCCTCCCAAAGTACTGGGATTATAGGCATGGGCCACTGCAATTGGCCTCAACTCTTAACTAAATTAGATTACTCCTTCTTTACAAAACGGAACTCGTGGTTTCCAATCTCTGTGTCTTTGTGTTTTTGTTCGCCTCTCAATGTTAACCATCTTTCAAGATAAAGATTGTGTACCTCTTCTGTCACTAAGCTCCATGGTGTTAGTCTGGTGGCATCAGCATGGCAATTTGTGTGTGTAATTCTCAGGTAACACCAGGTCGTCCTGCAATCAGTATGTTTGTCTATGAATTTTACCCCTCGTTACATGGTACAATCCTTCATGATTCATGGCATGAATCCTGCCATGGAATAATGTCATATTCTAACAGCATAAAGCACAAGAGTCTCGCATCTTATGTTCTCATCAGTTATTGGTTGAATGCATGATTGAATGAGAGATGTTGTTGCTGTAGCCTGTGTAAGAATGACCACTATCCTCAGCCTTAGCTACATGGAGCACAGCATGCTTTTGCGTTGATGAATTCTTTCCAGTAGCTATCCTTTCCCTAAAGTGAAAAATTTATTTTCTCACATAACAAGAAGTCCAGAGTTAGTTCATTCCTGGGGATAAGTAATGCATCCAAGACCAAGATCTCACTGTCCTCTCACTTTGAAACTTGTTTGCTTTTGTCACAAGCTTACACCTCATGGTTACAAAGTGGCTGCAACAGCTCCAGGCATTCTATCCTTTAACACAGAATAACTCAAACAACAAGACCCAAAATTCAGACAAGAAGGAAAGGGACTTTTGAAGAGTGAAGAAAACTTTCCCAGAAACCTCAGACTTCTCTCCTCATGCCGTACTGGCCAGATTGTTTCCATGCCCATTCCTAAACCAATCATCAGCAAAGTGAGAGGAATTTATGTGATTAGATTAGCTTCATGAAGAATGCATCCTCAGAGAGACTGAGAAAAAGTCAGCCTCCTTTGAAGAGCCTGGCTACCTTTTACCTGAGCAAAACAAGAATTCTGATGACAAGAAAAAGGGAGAATTCATGTGGAGCGGGCATCTGGAGTGTCTAAGCCAGGATTTTTTTCAGTGCATTTCACCAGTTATATTTTTGTCTCTTTATCTCACGAGATATGTGGCACATTTGCCTAAAACAAGCCTTGTTTTCTGATTTCTGTGCACTAGACATGTAAGCCTTTGTAAATGTCACTTACCTAACAGTCACCATCAAGGAGTATCTGGCTAAAGAATCTCCAGCCAGCCAAAGTACAAGTGTCGGTGCTCTGGCAGTTGAATATATAGTATCAGGCTCAACAGCTCCTTTCGCCAAAGCATGAGACTTCACAGCCATTAGATCTTCTTTTATTTTGTTTTTATATTTTTAAAAAATTTAACACACTATTGCTAACTTGAGACCATTAAATCTTCTTACCCCCAATACCACAAAAGTTCAGTGGAATCAGTGGTATATCAAGGCAAGTGGAGTCAGGGAGCCAGAAGTGGTCAGCCCCGGGGAAGGCAATGAGGGATTGTGGAACTGTGAAGAATTTTAGAGCAATGATACATCTCTAAGTGCAACGTACTATCCTGGGCTTAGCCCTGAAAGAGAAAAAAGATATTAATGGAAAAACTGGTGAAATTCAGATGAAGTCTGTAGTTTGGTTAATAATATTGTACCAATGTTAATTTCTGTGTTTTGATAAATGTATCATGCTTATGTAAGCAGGATGAAAGATACATGGGAAATCTCTCTACTATTTCTGCAACTCTCCTGTAAATCTAAAATTATTTCAAAATAAAAAGATTTAGTGTTAAAATTGACCGAGAATTGATCTGCTTTTTTATTATTACTATGTCCTGCACATGCTAAACAATGTTAGGAATAAAATAGTTCTTCCTCTCCTCCAAATCTTTTGGTCTAAGATCTAAACAATTGCTGTAGATACAGCTGAATATTAATAATATATATGTAAATTTCAACTTACTGTATTTTTATTGTTTATCTTTTACTGAACTTTGCAGGCTTAGCACAGTGGCTCATGCCTGTGATACCAGCACTTTGGGAGGCCAAGTACAGAGGATTGCTTGAGCTCAAGAATTCAAGACCAACCTGGGCAACATAGCAAGACCTCATCTCTACTAAAAAAAAAAAAAAAAAAAAAAAAAAAAGAAAGAAAGAAAAAAATTAGCTGGGCATAGTGGCATGCACCTGTAGTCCCAGCTACTCAGGGGCTGAGGCAGGAGGATATCTTGACCCAGGTGGTTGAGAACACAATGAGCCATCACTGCATCACTGCACTCCAGTCTGGGTGACAAAGTAAGACTCTTTCTCAAAAAACTAAAAAAAAAAAAAATTAAACATTGCATTCTACATGCAAGTGAATCCTAGAAACTCATATACCCAACCGGCCCCTGATATGTGCAATCTCAGGTGCATATATTTGTTCATACCCTACTGGAATCATCTGAGTTTGTTTGGGGCACAGTTCACGTCTCCAATCTGGTACTACATATTCTTGTGTTTAAACTAAAAATTCGAAAAAGTGATAGCTTGATGATTCTAAAGACAAAGAAACAGGACTGGTTTCTTTAATTCTGACATTCTACATGAACACTTGAACCTTTTATTTGTGTTTAAAACTTAAAATAGTGAAATAGAGGGCACAATGCCAATATTATCATTTGTTTCATGGCATTTTTTTGTTTTCTGGAATGCTTTTCATTTTCATTGACAGGAGCAAGGGGTTAAAAGTGATCTGCTTCAGGGTTGGGCACGTTGGTTTATGCCTGTAATCCCAGCACTTTGGAAGGTCAAGGAAGGAGAGTCACTTGAGCCCAGGAGTTTGAGACCCACCTGGGCAACATAGGGGGACCCCCATCTCTATAAAAAAATTTTTTTTTAAGAAAAAAAAGATCTGCTGCAGTTATCAAATATGCTCAATATAAGAGTGAGTAGAATTAAGCTTTGAGGTATTGGAAACTGTCTTAGGGCCGAGTGTGGTAACTCATACCTGTAATCTCAGCATTTTGGGAGGCCAAGGCAGGCAAATCACCTGAGGTTCAAGACCAGCCTGGCCAATATATAGTCTCTACTGAAAATACAAAAAGTAGCTGGGCATGGTGGTGCACACCTGTAGTCTCAACTACCTCGGAAGCTGAGGCAGGAGAATTGCTTGAATCAGGGAGATTGAGGTTGCAGGGAGCCAAGATCTTGCCACTGCACTCCAGCCTGGGTGACACAGCAAGACCCCGGCTCTCAAAAAAAAGTAAATAAGAAATTACCTTAAACATTGTAGATCCACTTCCTGACTTTAGAAGCAAAAAAAGGAAGGCTCAGAACTTGCTGCCATTAGTAAGGGTTTCGTGAGCGGGGGTTAAGGGACAGGCCCTCCTCCCTCCTAGTCTGTTGCTCCCGGCACTGCTTCTGAACCCTATGTCTGTTTTCCTTTAGCAGACAGGTGATAACTCAGAAAAACCAAGTTCCTCGTCCAATGGCCACTAGTGACTCAGTGGCAGAATAAGGCATGGGAACCAGGACTCCTGACAGCTCCAGGGCTCTGACCGTTGTGCCCAGTTTCCCCTTTCCAGCTCTCATTCAGCTACAGACAAATCAATTATAGGCAACTAATGAATGTGCCACCTGACTTTCAGATGGGAAGAGGGGAGCATTATTAAAAACAGACTTAAAAAGAGAGAGAGAGAGACAGACAGACAGAGAGAGAGAGAGAGAGAGAACTTGACACTAGAAACTTCAGCCAGAATTCTAGCCACCAGAAACATACTGGGATACAACATTTGGGAAGCAAGGGAACAATTTCAGACACTGTTTTCCTCTAATTTGGAAGGCATCTTTGTTTTTTGTTTTGTTTTGTTTGAGACAGAGTCTAACTCTGTCACCCAGGCTGTGGTGCAGTGGTGTGATCTCACTCACTGCAACCTCCGCCTCCCGGGTTCAAGTGATTCTCCTGTCTCAGTCTCCTGAGCAGCTCGATTACAAGCATCTGGCACCATGCCCAGCTAATTTTTATATTTTTAGTAAAGCCAGGCTTTCACCATGTTGGTCAGGCTGGTCTTGACCTCCTAACCTCAGGTGATCTGCCCTCCTCAGCTTCCCAAAGTGCTAGGATTACAGGCATGAGCCACTGTGCCTGGCCTAATTTGGGAGGCATGTTTTGATGGAAAGAATATTAGAAACTTAAGATGCCCACAAATATGCTTATCCTTAGTTTTTCTTTTCTTTTCCTTTCCTTTCCTTTCTTTTTTTTTTTTTTTTTTTTTTTAGATGGGGTCTAACTCTGTTGAGTAGGCTGTAGTGCAGTGGCACAATCACGATTCACTGCAGCCTTGACCTCCCAGGCTCAAGTGTTCCTCCCACCTCAGCCTTCCCAGTAGCTGAAGCCACAGGTGTGTGCCATCATGCCCAGCTAAGTTTTAAAAAAATTTTTATAGAGACCAGGTCTCACTATGTTGCTCAGGCTGGTCTCAAACTCCTAGGCTCAGCCTCCCAAAGTGCTGGAGTTAGAGGTGTGAGCCACTGCATTGGCCCTTAGTTTTTCTATGTACACAGAGAAAGCAATAATTATCAGAGGGACACTGTTATGATGCAGTACACTGTCACACTGAGGAAAAGTTCAACAGAAAGAACTCTGTGGAAAGATTTTCATGAGCCAAAACACAACTCATGAACCCCTGTTACTCAACTGCCATGCCTGCCTTCTTTGAGCAGCTGTCTCCTAGCCTGCAGAGAAACTCAGAAACTATCCTGATTGCCGGGCGCGGTGGCTCACACCTGTAGTCCCAGCACTTTGGGAGGCCGAGGCGGGTGGATCACGAGGTCAAGAGATCGAGACCATCCTGGTCAACATAGTGAAACCCCATCTCTACTAAAAATACAAAAAATTAGCTGGGTGTGGTAGCACGTGCCTGTAATCCCGGCTACTCAGGAGGCTGAGGCAGGAGAATTGCCTGAACCCAAGCGGCGGAGGTTGCGGTGAGCCCAGATCACGCCATTGCACTCCAGCCTGTTAACAAGAGCGAAACTCCATCTCCAAAAAAAAAAAAAAAAAAAGAAAGAAACTATCTTGATTAAATTTAGGGATCTCTCTATGAACCTTGTTACTGGTTCTTGCAATTCATCCCATCTCTGCTCCTCAGGTCACAGCCCAGAGTTCAGAAACCATTTGCTTGTGAATTATCAGACACAGACACTGCATGCAACTACCAGCATTCTGTCTTTGCACAGCTCTCTACCACAGTAATTGGTTATGTATGCCCTGTTCCCTAATGGAGTAATAAATGACCTCTTACCATGTGCTTGGAAGGATGATGGATGAGTGAGTAGAGGACAGATGGATGGATAGGCAAATGGATGAGTGATGGATGTGTAGGTGGATGGATATGTGGGTGGATGAGTGGATTGATGGGTGGAAGGTAGGTGGATTAATGGCTGAATGGATGGTTGGTTATATAGAAAGGTGATTGGGTGGATGGATTAATGGACCGAAGTATGGAAACCTGTACCATTCCATCTTTAGGTTCATATCCAAGGTAATTCCATAGTGAAGAGGCCCCAAGTGGATTCTACTTCCATGTAAAAGATATATTCAGGACCAAAGTTATGTTTAGATTTGGTAGAAGTTCACCTTGGGGTAGACTTTAAGGCCCTGAAAGGCAGAGATCATAGCTTTCCATCTATGAGACAGTAACCATCATTGCCTGCCACATAGTAGGTACTGAGTAAATATTTGTTGACAAACATGAATAAATGAATGAATGAATGATTTGGGAAACAAAAGGATGACTCTCCCTGACCTTGAAGTTCAACCCCACATTCTGATTCTTCATGCTTATACAGTTTTAAACTGTATTTCTTTATTAATTGATTAGGTATCCAGAAGTATTCTGTTATGATGCAAAACAGTCTTAGATGTTAAAAACGTTAAACCCTTTGCATCTGTTGTCAGGAATTAGTTGGTTGCATTGCCGTCTCTTGATTCTTCGCTGATGATGTTGGGCATGGGGCAGGTCTGGTGGTTTCTCTGGGCTGAAGGACTTTTGCTGACAAGTAGGAGAGAGTCCTTTACAGCAGGAATCACCAAGACTGCAAGGAAGGAGTCAAAGTCTCCCCTCTCTCATGATCTCAGCAGCCAACCCCTGCCCACAGTGCCTTCTTGGCAGCCCTGCTCCCGATTTGAAAGGAATTCCTCCCTTTGTCCCTGGGGTTACTGCAAACTGAGCAGGACACCTAGGTGAGGACAAAAGTAAAAAGAGAAGGGGAAAGGTGAGAGCAAGAAAGGAAATATGAGAAAAAGGGAGACACAACAGTAAGAAGAGAAGAGAGGAAAGAGAAGGATATAGGCAGGGGGTGGGAGAGACAAAAAATAGATTGTATTTGCAGCACAATGCCTCTGGTAATAATATTATCATTATCTTGCCTGAACAGATGTGCAAGGACTCCCATCTACTCATTATCCAACATGAAAATGGAACATGTTTCTATCAGCCTCATCGGAAATCTTGGCAGATGCTGTCAGAAAGTGTGTGCTGTTCCTGAGATGTGATTTTTCAACAGTGTAGACTGTACTGTTTGATGAGGGGTGGGAAAAAGAGGAGAGAGGGTTGATTGTGCTTTCTTTTGGTTTTGTTTTTAATTTGGAAATTCTTCTCTTCAAGGGGGCCTTGCCTTAGACTATGTCCAGCTTTGTTGAATAGCAATGTCTACATGACCAGTGGTCTGGATCTGGCCAGCAGTCCCAGGGCCACATGAAAGCCCAGTGCCAAGGGCCCTTTCCTTTGAAATAGTTCCCTCACGGCTCTCACTTCCCCTTACTCCAACATTATTCATAGCTATCATGCCCCTCTATTCCACTTCTGATCTCAATGTCTTGCATTGAGACATTTGAAGAGTGTGGTTCAAGGAAAGAGCATGTTTATTCCCTGCTGGACAAGGCTCAGGGAGACCATCAGTGCCAGAGACAGGAGTGGGCACCATTCGTCTCTGAATGAAGCCATGCAGTGTGCAAGTTCCCCGTGGCAAACACCACCTTTCCCTGGGAAGACAGCCAAGGCCTGGAGCCCCATGTAGGAAATCCCCTGTGAGAGGCCCTTCCTGAGTCCCACAGAAAATGATTCTTTTCATAGGCACTGAGTCCCCTTTTTTTCCTAGCCATAAATGCCCACATCACATCCCACTTCCTGGCCTTCTACACTCTGCTCCTATGCCAAGTGGACGCACCCATGCCCCCTCATGGCTCATGCACCCCTTTCCCTTGCTTTCTACATTCAACCGGCCTCTCCCAGCCCTTAGAAAGCCTCTTCCTTTCCCCAGCTGGGCTCTAGACTCTCCCTCTATCCAGCACTCTATGCCTCTCACATGAAACTGCTCCATGCCATGACCTATTATATCCAGAGGGTTCTCTCAGGTTGAACAGACATGATTTGTTGACTTTGCAGATTAGCAACCCTAGCTACTCCAAAGGTTGAGGCACAAGAATCACTGGAACCTAAGAGGTAGATGTTGCAGTGAGCCAAGATTGTACCGCTGCACTCCAGCCTGGGCAACAGAGCAAGATTCCATCTCAAAAAAAAAAAAAAATTAAGAAGAAAGAAAAAAGCCCTGGCAAGGTGGCTCACACCTGTAATCCCAGCACTTTGGGAGGCCAAGGCAAGCAGATCACCTGAAGTCAGGAGTTCAAGACCAGCCTGACCAATACGGTGAAACCTGTCTCTACCAAAAATACAAAAATTAGCCAGGTGTGGTGGTGGGTGCCTGTAATCCCAGCTACTTGGGAGGCTGAGGTGGGAGAATCGCTTGAACCTGGGAGGTGGAAGTTGCAGTGAGCTGAGACTGTGCCATTGCACTCCAGCCTGGGCAACAAGAGCCAGACTCCATCTCAAAAAAAAGGAAATGGAAATGGAAGTCTAGAAATGTTAAGTGACTTCCAAGGCTCCAGGTTAGCAAGAGACAGACCCTGAGTGTGCCTGGGGAAGGGATTTCTGTACTCATCCCACAGCCTTTCCTGGTGTGCCCTGGGGATGGCAGGAAACCTGGATCCCAGCCCAGCTCTGCTGTTTCAAGGTGGATTACCTCAGGTCCGACACATTCATTTCCCAAGTCTCTGTTTTCTAATCAGAAAAATTATGGGATTTGAGGTGATTTCTTAGAGCCATTTCCATATGGTGATACTGTCATTTTTTGTCCTAATGATAAAACCATGCAGGAAGCTTTTCAATAGACTCAGGGCCAGCTCTAAGCATAGGGAAGAAGTAGGAGGCAACATTGATCTTTGGTGACACCTAAAGGCTCTATCTGTACAACCTTTTCCTCCGTCCAGAATAAGCCTTGTAATCCCTGCTGCCTTCTGGGGACCTCAGGGCAAAGTCTCGGGGAGGGTGCAAAGAGGACTTGTCCATCAACCTGAGGATGCAGAGGACACATGTGCCCTGCACATCACAATGAGTAAACCTGAGCTCCTTACTAAAATAAAGCTGTCTTTTGAGTGTTCCTCACTTGTAACAGGAGTAAATGCACTGACCAGTGCTAGTTAAAGATGACCTCAACAGCTGCTCCATTCCAACTGTCTTGGGCAAGAGGGAAGTGATTCTTCATGCTTTGATATGAGATGGAGTCATAAATACTGTTTCAGATATCAGGGGAACATATGATCAGAGATGCCAGCATCATACTGTCATGCCAGGAAAGCTTCAGTGACTGCCTGCTAGAGGAAGTTCACGTCCCTTAGCTTGGCTTCAAGGAGCTCCAGGAGCCACTCTCGCCTTCCCATCTTGGTCTCTGCCTTCCCTAAACACTCATGAGTACACATCCCCCCTCATTCCCCCACGAATTTTGACTCAGCCATCAGTGTGTCAAGGGTTAACCCTTAGCATTGGTAAAAGTTTTGGTTGACTCTAAGATGGAAGCTTTTTCTCATTTTAACTTCTTACTCATTTAACTTTGATGTTATAATCAATGACATGTTGTTTTGTAGCACTTTTTCTTTCTTAGTGGTTTGTAAAATAATGGTGCATCATGACTAGAAGGCCTTTTGGATTTGCTGAAATACTGTAAGTAGCATTCTCCATATTTGAGCTCCAGAAGCTCAGCCAGAAAACGAGAACCTGTGTGCCTATACTCTTAAGTTTGTTTTCCCAGTTAGGACTGCGTCCTGCTGTAATGGGGTGATCTCTGGGAACCTACATGGCTCCCTAGTTGTAACCAAGGGTAATATTCAAAGTGTTTAATGATCATACCAGGCCAGGTGCAGTGGCTCATACTTGTAATCCCAACACTTTGAGAGGCCAAGGCGGGGAGATCATTTGAGGTCGTGAGTTCAAGACCAGCCTGGCCAACATGGTGAAACCCCGTCTCTACTAAAAATATAAAACTTAGCCAGGCATTGTGGCAGATTCCTGTAGTCCCAGCTACTCGGGAGGCTGAGGCAGGAGAATTGCCTGAACCCAGGAGTTGGAGGTTGCGGTGAGCCGAGATTGCGCCGTTGCACTCCAGGCTGTGTGACAGAGTGAGACTCTGTCTCAAAAAAAAAAAAAAAAAAATGACCATATCACTTAGAAGAAAAGGCAACCAAAAACAACTGGCTCGTGTATCCTGGATCTTACCTGCTGAACCCCAGGCCTACTACCATGCTCCTTACTTGTTGGTTCTCAACTCTGCTCATTCCTTATTTTATGGATACTTGACAGCACACTCAAGGCACACAGCCTGTCACCGAATTCCAGGAGACATTCCCTAATCAAGCTGAGTCAAGCACGATTACCCCAGGCTCCTTTAGGGGAGGGTATGTGTAGTAGTTTTCTATTGTTGTTGTAACAAATTACTATGAAA